AGCAAAAAAGTCCTTTATTTATGCTCTTCGTCCAAAGACAGCTATGAGCAAGGAAACTTGGGAAAAAAAGGAGGAGCTTTTGATGAGCTATGGTTGGTTGGAGGAGCAATTTCAATCTGCATTTGTACTGCAACCAGTTTTCATGCTTACCTCAGAAAAGAAGATCGAGAAAGTGATGGATTTCCTTTAAAACACTGTAGGTTTAAAGTCATCGGATGTAGCAAAGTGATGGATTTTCTTTTAATTGGTGGAGACTTAACGTGACAGATAAGCAGTTCCGTGACGGAAGGATCATTTGAGTTTTGGAAAAATAAAGTTTAAGGACGATTTGAGTCCTTTCTGAAGTTAAAGGACGAATTAAGTTTCGAAAAGAAAGTTTAGGGACCAAATTAGGTATTAAACCAAATTAGAATACACAGTAAGAAGAAAATGTGAGTTCGGCCAAAAACAATTGGAACAGTGTAAATGCGAGAATGTGGCTGCGTGTCCACCTATTTTTATTTTTATTTTTTAAAGTCAGTTGTCTGTCCGATAGTTGAATAGGTTACTTGGGAAGTCATTTTCTAGTAGTAAAGTGGTGATTGAGGGCAATCTTTAATTACGCGGCCAACATGACATTGAGATACGTGCAATTTTTCATTAATGTAACAAGAATACCGTGACTGGGCATCCAGAGATTTTACAATTTGTGGGGTGGGTGGGCCATGGCACTTAGCCAACATGTTTCCTCTCCCGTCTATTTTCATTTTTCTTTTTCTTTGGTTTTTTTAAAGGAATAGGTGAAAGGTTTACTGTAGTATTTTATCATTACGTAAATATCATATTTAGTCCTTAATTTTTTGTTATAGACTTGAATATTATCCCAACTTTTTATTTAGATAAAAAATGGTCCTCAACCTTTTCAAATTATTAAATTTAATTTTAACATTAGTTATTTCCATTAAATTCCTAACTAGAACTGGAATTCTGAGAGGTTTAATAGAAACTATTACAATTTTTTTTAAATTTTCATTGCCATAAAATTTGGATTCTTTAAACTCTTTAACTTTTTTTTTTTTTTGAAACTTTTTTTTTTACTTTACATATAAGGGTTATTTATATGTCACAAGTTGCAATCCTATAAATGTGATGAAGTTTTGTTTTATATTATTTAATGTATTTTATAAAATAGTAATTTAAATGACAAATAAATTCCAATTAGAAAATATTTGGGTTATGAAATTAATTCTATTGTTAAACTATTAAGTTATGTCAAAAGTTTTTAAAATTAAGGCAGAAGTTTGCATTAAATAAAAGGCAAAAAAAAAAAAAAAAAGCAACAAGATATTTAGGGTTTTCCAAAAGGAAAAAAAAAAAAAATACAGTGGCGAGCAATATTAAAAAAATGAAACAAATGTTTAATGTTAGACGAAAAAATGGCTTATAGATTTTTTTTTTCCCCTCTTTAAGGGATTTGGTGGATTCCCAAAATTCTAACTAGGGTTTTCATTAGGAATTTAATAAACGTGATTAATGGTTGGATGAGGCTTGGTGACTTTAAAAAGGTTTGAAATCACTTATAATCGAAATGAAAGGTTGGGATGATATTTAATATTTTTAGTAAAGGTTGGGAACTACAAGCTTGTTCAGTATAGTAATTAAAATCCAACGAATAATAAGTAGTGGATCATAAATAGTGGATAGTGGATAGTTGTAGAGAGTAGAAGCTAGTGGTTAGCAATTAGTGGGTAGTGGTTAATAGTTAGCGGATAATGGATAGCAAAAAGTGAGTAATGAATTGTAAATAGCAAATTTTGATTGATAAAATCATTTAATTACACAATGGTTAGCGGTTTTTATTTGATGTTAAATGACTAATAAGGCAAATTTAAAAGCAATTAAGTATATTTTTCTTTTTTATATTTTTATTATTAAAAATTAATAATTTTATAAAAATAATAAATAAATAAATAAAATATAAAAGTGTGAGTCACACATTCATTTTTATTTTTAACAAAAAAAATTATATTAGTTTTAAATAATTAAAAAACAAACTTTTAATAATTTGTCTAGTTAGCAATTATTTTTATTATGTTAATAAAAAAATTTTTAATGATAAGTTAATGTAAAAATACAAATATAATAATCACTTAATATTATTAAAGAGAAAAATAAATTTTAAACCAATTAGATAAGTGGTAATTAAAGACTAGCAAAAAAGAACTAAGGGATTTGATCGATTCCCAAAATTCTACTAGGATTTTCATTAGGAATTCAATGAAAGTTATTAATGGTTGGATTAGGCTTGGTGACTTTAAAAAGGTTTGAAATCATTTATGATTCAAACGAAAGGCTGGGATAATATTTAATATTTATAGTAAAAGTTGAGGACTTTATTTACATTTTATAAATAGTGGTGCAATTATTACCACATTTTAACATTAATTAATATTAAAAAACATAAAATTTGTCATTAATTTCGCTAATAGTAACACAAGGATAATTTTAATTAGACAGTTTCTTAAATAAAGGTTAATTTTTATCTTTTTAATAGTAATTAACATAAAAATGATACAATAATTGCAAGCGTAAGGAGGGGTGTTCGCGATATGGTTTGGTTTAAATTCTAATATTTTTTAAACCAATCCAATTTAACCGGTTAAAAATTTTTTTAAATCAATCTAATCAATTATTATATGATAACCAAACCAATTTAATTTAAATTGAATCAGTGTGGTTCAATCGGATTGATCGGTTTTTAACATTATTAAATATATGAGGTAATGTAAAAATATTTTAATATTAAATAGAAATCATAATTATAAAACACATTAACATGCAAATTAGTAAAAACATAATAAAAAGTACAAATTATAAATGAATTTTTATACTCCTTTACATTTGTAAAATTGAAAAGATTTGAAAATTCTTCTTGGTTACATCATTAGAGGTACCAAGAACAATAAAAGATAATTTCAAGTTTCTAGCACAGCATAAATAATTTTTAAAAATTAAAATTATTTTTTTCTTAATGTACTAATTAATAATTTAATCACATCTTCTAGATCCTATTAAAAGTGAATAAAATTTAACATGAATATAACTAAAATTGATTAGAAGTATTCATAATCAAAATTTAAAACTTCTAAACCAAATATCCAAGAATAGTAGAATATCAAGACTAATTTTATTATACAATTTTAAAACTTTTAGAATAATACTTATTTAAAACTTAGTTAAGAGAATTATAAGATTATTTTAAGAATAAATTAAAAATTTAGGATTCTAAGAGTAAAGGTGTAAATCAGTTTTGAGGGGTAGAGTTACAGGTGAATTAGAAATTTAGAGTTAGGACTAGAGTGTATGATTAAAATAAAAACTAACTTAGGGAATACGGAGATGTTCTATTTTAATTTTTTAATTAAGTTAATAAAGTTATTATCTTGTAAAATAAGAAAAAAATTTTAAAATACAACAAAAAATATATTATATTATTTAATTAAGTTATCTTCTACTCGAATTTATTTTGTAATCGGACAGTTCGAGTGGTTTGAAGGTAAAACCACAAACCAAACCGATTATATCGGTTTTAAAATTTTATACTTCAAATCAATCCAATTTTATATTTGTTTGGATCGATTTTTGATTAGATTGAATCAGTTTAGGTCGGATCAATCAACTTGGATCGAATATGAACACCCCTAAACATAAGGCATGGTTAGAAACACCTAGTAGATAAACTAGATTTTGTTGTGCTTTGTGCACTTTACCTATATTAAATTAGATTATGTATTTATCTAAAAGTATTATTAAATTATTTTTTTATGATAATTACTAATTTTAAAAGTAATAATTCATAAAAAGAAGTTTGAATGGTAGATCAAAAAAGATTTAAACATACCAATTTAATCTTTCCAATTAGTATTTTATTGCAAACAAAATATATCTTAATATTTAAAATGTTAATAAAAATATTGTCATGGTATTTAAGTATGTTTAGTAGATTATTAATTAGTTTTTTTTCTTATGGGACATGCATGCTAACTAGTTAAAACTCTTATAAAGGAGAGAGATGGGATGGGGGAGTGAGGGTTTGAACCTTGGCTATATAGTTGAGTAAGCAGCTCTATGCCAATAATTTGATCCATTACTTTATGGGCCTTCCTCACATTATGAATCATATTATCAATTTATAAGTATCAACTTTTAAAAACTTAGTAGTCTAGAATTATTAACTTGCTATTCTATATTATAATTATGATTAATGAAACTTTTCTTTTTTTTTTTTTTATCAGCATGATTAATGAAACTTATAAAATAGGAAGAAACAGGGGACCAATTACACTTATTAATATGTGGGTTTCACACCTTGAAGACAGATATTGCCACACAAATAAATACTAAGGCCACACAAATTAAAGTCAATTTGATTGATTTTTTAGTTTAAAATTTTTTTTCCGTTAAATAACTAGTTAGAATATTTGAAAACATCAATCTATTAATTAAGTAATAGATTCAATTTTAATTTTCTATTCTATATTAATTTCTTAATTAGTAGGTCTCACAACCCTTATATTTGATTTTGAATTACTCTTTAATAGTTTTTTTTTAATTTAAAAAAAAAAAGCCTATGGAGTAATTATTGAGCCTTTTTGGGTATTGATCTTTTAAAGTCTATTTAGCATTTACTTGAGAATTTTAGAGAGAATTTTATTGTTATTTGTAACAACTTAACTTACTGTTAATACTGTCCACTTTGATTTATCAAGTCTCACAGTTTTAAAATGTGTTAATAGAGGTTAATTGTTGTTGACCTATATATACACCCAACATCTCTCTCGTGCTTTATTGATATGAAATTTGCCTAAAAATATCGCATACACCCCCCATTAAGACTTAGTGTCCTCATTGAGTTTTACCCCACCACCATTTAAGAAGTCATGTGAAGTGATTTTAATATCATATGTAACAACTTAGCCTATTATTGAGACTACTCATTTCGACTCATTAGAGCTCATAGTTTTAAAATGCATCAATAAAGATTAATACATGTTGACCTATATGATTAACATATCTTCCATACTTTTTTGATATGAGATTTGCATAGAAGTGTCATAAATACCTCCCTTTCAAGAGCGGGGTATCATATACTTCTATGCTTTTCTTAGAACTACAAAGGTTTGGCTAAGAACATAGGTTAGTGTGCACTAATTATACGTTCTCTATAAAAATGAAATTTATTTTCAACAAGTAACAACATGCGTATAATTTTATTAATTTTAATTAGATGATTGATAAAATTAAAATAATTTTTAGTTTTTACAATAATTAATAAAAAATATGCAAATTAATATACAGGTAAAAAAAGCCCAACTTCAATTATCCTTAATTTTTTCTAAAATAAAAAAAATGACCTCAATTGATATATCAATTTGTGTTTTTACCTTGGTAGGTCCTGTCAATTTGATGAAATCTCGATAATTATTTTCTTCTTGATTAGATCAATAAAGATGTTTGAATTGCCAATGACTTAAATTGCAAAGTTTATTTATTTTTACTAAAAGTAAAAAATCATATAGGTTTGTTTATATGGCATATAAATAAAATAAATTGATGAATAAGAGATAATTTATCTCTCATTTTTATAAATTTAAGATAAAAAATAAATTTTTTTTATAAGTATTAATTATTAAATTTTAAATATTAACTATCAACAATTATTCAATAGCAAAATCAGTTAAGACCTTACTGATTTATTATGTCTTACAGCATTAATATATCAATATTATGTATTTTTTTTATCAAAAATTTATATTTTCTTATTATATCTGGAGTTGCATAATAAGAATGATCCTTCATTATTTTATTTTGAACACTCTCATATTTACCACTCTAACTCATAACTTTTCCCAATAAGCAGAAATTACAACTAAACAACTGTAAGGACAGGTCCGAGGTGCCAAGCCTCGGACTGCTACTGTGATTCCTTTATGACCGAAGTGAGAAATGAATCCAAAGCTCCCTGCTCAAATAGCTGCATGACAATGACAACAAGCATGCCCGCACCTGATTCCTTATGATGAGTGGCACAACAAGTATGGTGGACATCCGTGCATCTGAATACCTCTCAGATTCCCGGTCCCGAAATAATCGTCTGGATAGACACGTCAGGCTCCGATTATCCTGCTAAGCAAGCCACGTGATAACCTCACAAAGGCCTATAAATACCCCCAGGGGC